AAAAAAAAAAAAAAAAAAAAAACCAGTCAAATTGTGAATTAGTGGAAATGGGTTTGAACTTTGACATAATCCATACACACTCATCCACACGCGCGTTGAAGTAAATCCTCTTTTTTCGAAGAAGCTTCTTTGTTAAATTTTATCATTTATATGTGCTTTTTTTTTTAGATTACATGAGAAGTTTTCGTATGTGAAAAGGTCGGTCGGCTGGTAATTTTTCATTGGCTGGCAAATACTTATCTACTTTGTTTATCAATTATTTATTTATTTATTTCTTGCTACAAATTTGTCATGTGAAAATACCCAGGATTATTTTCGAATGTTGTTGGAGGCAATATTGTGAAATTAATTGGATAACAATTATATTCTGCTGGATGATTAAATTAAAAATTAGGGGCTTAAAGATACCAATAATTACAATAATTGCTTTAATTTTGTACACATACAGTACAAGTTGCTCTACGTTGTAATCAAGATTTGGTACTTGGCTCAATATCACATACTAACTGTGTAACTATGTGAAAGTGAGTTACGAACCAAATAGTAAAACATATAATAATATACCTTTCTTGGTGGCATAATAATAGGAGAAAAATACAAATTTAAGCTACCATACTTTTTCAATAAATATATATTTATAAGAAATTAAAATATTATATTCTAAGAAATTGACGATTCGGCTAACAGTTAGATTCATGTTTTATACAATAATTTGTGATATATTATTAGTACTATTTTTTTTTTAATTTTCATTTTTTTTATCATACTTAATCCATTTTTTTGTTGTTTTTTTTTGCACAAAATCTTAGGGGACACTCTAAAGGTTGACACTTTGTGACAAAGAGGTGAAACGTCCTCACAGAATCAGGTGTTGTCCCCAAATCTACTCTACCACTTTAGTTCCATAATTTTCTATTAATTTTCTCATATTGTTTGGTTTAATAATGTTATAATAATTGAACACGTATCATTCCTCATTATTAAGGGAACTGTTACGGAACTATTCTGTGGAGATTTGTAATCGTTAAATCATCATGTAGCCGTCAGAGATAATTAATCTAATGGTTACAAATCCCAACGAAATGGTTTCGTAACGAGATTGTAAACATTTCCCTAAATTTATACTCTCGTATACATATGTAGATGGAAAAACATGGGCATTTATTTTTTACCTATTAAACTAATTTGTTCAATATAAATTGTTATAAAATAACACAAATTGGCGTTATTTATCGATCATATACAGTTCAGTGTACTAATAAATAACAATTCAAATTGCATTAACTGATTTGACCAAAAAATTCAAATAGCAAACGAGTTAAGTAATATTTTTTTTTTTTTTTTGGTACTGAGGGAGGAAAAGGAAGCTCAACAAGCTATCATGCGTGGGTAAGCCACTCCAACAACATCGTGCTCAAGCCATTGTTTCAAGCCAACTGACGGAAACTCTAATCTCTACAAACCACCCTAGTCGCAGCTAATGAAGCCAAATAATTTGTCGAAAAGTTTGATTCACGATAGACATACTGAATTGTCACAGTCCAATCACGATTCATCAGCTCCTTCGTAGCCCCGGACTAAGTCATCATCAAATTGTAAAATAAGAAAGGATGGATTATGGCCCATCCTAATACATTCTGGTATAGTGTGTATACAATAAATATCCACATAAAGAAAAATACCAAAACTTGACGTCCAAGCAACCCTCAAGTTTTTTCTTTCTACACACCAAAATAAATTCTCCCATACACACAAATATAAGCAAGAAAAACAAAACCCACAAACCCTCCTCTCTCTTTTTATCATTATTATTATTAGTATTTTTTTTTTTTTTGTTATAGCTTGAGAAAAAACGTGTCTTTAAAAGTGCAATTATTTCACTTTTTTAACTATCTTTTTAATTTTTAGTTGTCATATATTTATTTACAGATGAGCATAAGATTAGGAGGGAATTAATTAGAGAAATGACATGGTCTAATAATGATAAAGATGATCAAAATAGGACGACTATAATCTGCCCGTCGTGCGGCCACGCCGTTAAAATCCAAGATCAGGTAATTATATAATTAACTTAATTAATTATTATATATAAATCTATATTTATTATTTTGTTATTAATTATGAGATTTTCAGCTAATTAAAACAATGATATTTTAATTTCTACTCATTTATTTTTATTTTTATAAAAAATTAAATAAATAATTAGAAGGGGCTTCAAGATTTGCCGGGTTTGCCAGCTGGGGTGAAATTTGATCCGTCGGATCAAGAAATACTTGATCACTTGGAGGCTAAAGTGCACTCTGATACAAGCAAACTTCATCCTCTTACTGATGAATTTATACCAACTATTGAGGGTGAAAATGGTATTTGCTATACTCATCCGGAGAAATTACCAGGTATATATATATATATAAATATATATTTTCAATTATTTCAATTTTAAATTTTAATATGTTTATAATTATTTCATAATTTTAATATGTTTTCAATTATTTCAATATATATACAAGTTACTTGATCCACAAATTCATTGTTGTTTCGTAATAATAATAAAGATAAGGTATATATTTTTTTGTTAAAATTAATTAATTCCCCGTGTTAATTATATATTCTTGTCCTCACCTTCAAGTTTGCCAAGATATGTGGCTGAACATATAATTATTGTGTATGAAGGTTATTTTTGGTAAAACTAACTGATAACCTAGCTTAAAGTTTATCCGTAATTTTTGAATTTATAGCTTATAATTTATGACTTATAGCTGAAAAACTAGCTTATATGATAAAAATGTTTAGTAAAATTAGCTGATAAGCTAGCTAAAATAAAAATTTTAACAAGATTAATTGAAAAGTTACTCAAAGAAGCTTATCAAATAAGCTCGAGCTTTTTTAAAAAGTTTTGTCTTATCAAACGGAGCTTATTTGAAAACATTGAGCTTATAAGCTAATCAAATAAGCTATATAAGTTAGCTTATTTGTCTACCAAACATAGCCGAATACGTGCATATCAAGCGTATATATTCAAAATCTAAAAATCAAAGAAAATCCAGGGCCTTAATACTAATAATTAAAGCTTTCTCGGAAAGGTTATTTATTATAGGTTTTTCTATGGAGCCAACTTCATACTGGAGCCAATCTTTCTATATACAACAAATAAACCAACCATATTCTCTGATTATTGAAATAACATTAATATAATTTTATTAATTTGGTAGGTTTATTTGTTGTATATAGAAGGTTGACTCCAATATGAAGCCAACTGTTGGCTTCATAGCAAAACCGTATTTATTATGATGAGAAATAGAGTAAAGATATATATAACTCACATATTAACCAAATCAGATATTTTTCTGTGGTGTAATAAGAATATTTACATTATTTCAGGCTACCAAGAAATCCTTGCTGCTAGCGACCAAAAAATTAAATACAAATTCTTGTTTGAGGCGGTCTCATCGTTAGACGGGTTGATGTTTCATATTTTTTTAACAAAAAAAAAAGAACATATATATGTTATAATGTCATACATTTATTTGTATTGTTGTTCAGTATGTCGTTTCAGTTTAAAAATATGCATATTTGATGAATTTATATGACTGCCCTAATTTAAAATTTAATTAAATTTATCTACATTTAATTTCTACCATACAATGTTTACTTTCTTTTTTTTTTTTTGGGTACAAACAATGTTTTCTTTCTTTAATGTCTCCTTTTGGATTGGAACTTCATATTATCATATTAAATACATATATAGGTGTAAGCAAGGAAGGGCAAATCCGTCATTTCTTCCACCGGCCCTCCAAGGCCTACACAACCGGCACGCGCAAGCGCCGCAAGGTCCACACAGACGCCGATGGTGGCGAGACCCGTTGGCACAAAACGGGCAAAACCCGGCCCGTCTCGACATTGTCCGGAAAAATCAAGGGCTACAAGAAAATCCTCGTCCTCTACACAAACTACGGCCGGCAAAGAAAACCCGAGAAGACCAATTGGGTCATGCACCAATACCACTTAGGCAACAATGAGGAGGAGAAAGAAGGGGAACTCGTGGTCTCGAAAGTGTTTTACCAAACGCAGCCTAGGCAGTGCGCCTCGTCGTCATCCAACGCGAAAGACGAGCGTTTTGGGAAGTCGAGAGGTTCGACTAATAACAAGGCGGCTAAGGAGAGTTTGTTGATGAAAAACACGAGCTTCACGGAGTATTATAACCGGCCGTTTATTTCGTCTTACGGGCCGAATATTGATGGTGGTGACGGCCCACCTATGTTGATTCCGAATTTGGTCGTCCATGGTGATGGATCATCTTTCTTGGAGATGCCTTCAAGTGCAAGCAAGGGTAAATAAGGTAATTAATTAATAGGTGGTGTTGTAGAGATGGGAGAATGATGTTGGTGGAAATAAGTTGAAGGGTCTTGTGATGAAAGTAAGATGGAATAAATGAGCAATAATAGATCAGTAAATGTGTTGTATTGATAGTTTAAGCTTTTATCTTACATTTCTATTTTAGGTTACTATTTTTATTTTTATTTTTTTATTTTT